AAGCATGTGGACTTTGTTGTCTATTTTAATTCAACTGAATGTGAAGTTCAATGCATATGTCGGTTGTTTGAGTTTAGAGGCATTATGTGCGCTCACTCACTCGCTGTGCTTGTCAGAAGGTGCATAAATGAGGTGCAAAGTAAATACATTTTGCCTCGGTGGAGAAAATATTTGGATAGAGAATACGCATGCATCAAAACCACATATACCGGCTTTGGGAATGATTTCAATGCAAGTACCTATGAGAGGATGAACAAAAAATTGATTGCCATTGTATAACTTGCTGGTAACTCTGAAGGCAAAACTAGAATTGTAGACCTTGGGTTGGATGAAATCCAGGAGAGAGTCATGAGAGAAGAATCCGGTGATGGGGGTAATTTACCATGTTCAACAAGAAGTCCGATTCACACCGGTTCTACACAAGGAGGTACTAGTAGGAAGGTGATTAGTCCTTTGGTTGCTCGGCGAAGAGGTCGTCCAGTTACGAAACGGAAGGTTGCCAAAGTAGATCAAATTGTTAATCGGTTCAAGGCAACAGCAAAAAAACAAACAAAAGCAAAGGTAAATTGTGTATTCAAATGTTTTTGTTGACAAACTATATTGAAGTATGTAAAAGCAATTCATACATTTCAATATGTAATTATTCTTCAAAACATGCAGGCTGCTAAGTTGCTCCGATTTGAACCTGAAGCTCAAGCTCAAGCTCAAGCTCAAACACCGTATTATCCTTATATGGTTGGCACAGAAAATAGTATGTATGTACCGGTACGTGTTCCAAAGAGGCCTTCATGTACTTTTACAAAGTGTATTCGAAAGAGTACTTCTTGTACTTTTGCATCTTTGTATTGTTCTAACATGTACTTTTTGCAATGAATTGTCATAGGTGGCCCATGGTATTGGAGGCACATCTCTTACTCCATCGGACTTCATAAGTGGCACACAGGGAAGTTTGATGAGTGCTCCAACTCAGATTTATGGTTCTGCATCGGGAAACTTAGATATTACAGACTTGTTTGACTAGTTTCTATGTATTCCAACTGTTTGTTTTTGAGATTGGAAATTATGTAGTTTCTATGTAGTCACTACTTCATGTACTTTGATGTTGAGAAGATTGAATATTATGTAGTCTACTATTATGAGTTTCAAACTTTGTTATTTAATATATAGTGTTTATTTAGCATGTTCAATTTACCATGTTCAATAGTTTACCTGTATTCAACAATAGTTACCTTGTATTCAATAGTTTCCTGTATTTAACAATGTCCATTCAATGCGTAATGAAGAAAGTGTACAAATTTGAACAAGCCATTTTCCATTCCACTAACAACAAAAGAGGTACAATAAGTAGGTTTCAATACACAAGAAAACATGACTTCCTCCAAAACATCACAAAAGTATGAAGTCTACGTCAACAAGTTCAAGGAGACATGTACTTCTACTTATTACATATTCATAAGTTTAAAGGCACCAATTACAAACAACACGGACAACATATATATCAACTTTTGCATCTTTGCGTTCTGAATTTGAAGTTGTTCTATCAGCTGTATTTGTTGTTCGGTCATAGCTTGAAGTCGTTCGGTCATAACTTGTTCGCCAACAGTTGGGACTTCGTCTGTTTGAATTTGATGACCTCCATATTCTGGATTCGTAGGTAAACACCATCCGATAAAACCACAAACATTACAATAGTAGAATAACTTGTTCTTGTTTAGCTCGGTTTGTGATATTTTGATGGTGGCTTTTTTGTTACATGTACGACAAATTCTGTTCACGTATGTCAACCAACCTGAGCTACTGCCACTAACACTTGAAGTTGACATCTGCAAAGAGGGACAAATAGCAATTAAAAATAGAAGATGAATGCTGAAGATGAATGATCTTATATATTCAAATGATCTTATATATTCAATTAAAAATAATACATAAATGGAGGAAATTTCTGTATACAGAAGATGAATGCTGAGGTCACTAATGCTACTTGTCTTATTCCTCCCTTGTTTTGAAATTTGCCCCTCTGATCTGTTGGTCTGCTCCCTGGTTTAGCCTCTTCTATTCAGTTGCTGGTTGTGGGTTTCTGGGTTGGTCTGTTCTGTTGGTTTCTCTGATCTGTTGGTCTGCTCTCTGGTTTAGGCTCAAGTCTTTGTGCTGTGTTGTGGTTCAGTGGTTCACTGGTGTGTGTTAAGGTTGGTTTTGGTGCCTACCAGCAATATTGGAGTATTTCAGTGGTGTGGGTTATGGTCTACCATTCAAGCAACATAGTTATGATCTTATGGAGTCTGTTGTGGAATGATCTTGTTTGTGTCTGCACTGCTAAAAAAATACAATAAAAAATGAATGCTTTGAGGTCTGCTGCTGTGTGTGGTAAAGGCTTTGGTGCATGACTCTGTGCAGTGCAACTGTATGGGGAGAAAGTATGCTGCTGATCTAGGGTGTTGCTATAGGATTGGGTGTAAAATGTGGATCAAGGCTGTGGTTTCTCTGTTAATGATCTTGTGTGTAATTAGCATCATGTGTATTGCTGCATTGGGAAAGCCCTGTGGTCTAATGCATGACTCTATGGCTTAGAGGCATGCTAATTAGCATCATGTGTATTGCTGTTTGCTGTAGCTTAGAGGCATGCTAATTAGCAGATTTTTGGGTTGTAGATTTTTGTGTCTGCACTGCTAAAAAAATACAATAAAAAATGAATGCTTTGAGGTCTGCTGCTGTGTGTGGTAAAGGCTTTGGTGCATGACTCTGTGCAGTGCAACTGTATGGGGAGAAAGTATGCTGCTGATCTAGGGTGTTGCTATAGGATTGGGTGTAAAATGTGGATCAAGGCTGTGGTTTCTCTGTTAATGATCTTGTGTGTAATTAGCATCATGTGTATTGCTGCATTGGGAAAGCCCTGTGGTCTAATGCATGACTCTATGGCTTAGAGGCATGCTAATTAGCATCATGTGTATTGCTGTTTGCTGTAGCTTAGAGGCATGCTAATTAGCAGATTTTTGGGTTGTAGATTTTTGTGTCTGCACTGCTAAAAAAATACAATAAAAAATGAATGCTTTGAGGTCTGCTGCTGTGTGTGGTAAAGGCTTTGGTGCATGACTCTGTGCAGTGCAACTGTATGGGGAGAAAGTATGCTGCTGATCTAGGGTGTTGCTATAGGATTGGGTGTAAAATGTGGATCAAGGCTGTGGTTTCTCTGTTAATGATCTTGTGTGTAATTAGCATCATGTGTATTGCTGCATTGGGAAAGCCCTGTGGTCTAATGCATGACTCTATGGCTTAGAGGCATGCTAATTAGCATCATGTGTATTGCTGTTTGCTGTAGCTTAGAGGCATGCTAATTAGCAGATTTTTGGGTTGTAGATTTTTGTGTCTGCACTGCTAAAAAAATACAATAAAAAATGAGGTCTGCTGCTGTGTGTGGTAAAGGCTATGGTGCATGACTCTGTGCAGTGCAACTGTATGGGGAGAAAGTATCATGTGTATCAAGTCAGCCATAGACTTGATATATCCTTCTCATTGATACCAGGACTGTATAATTGAAACAGGCATTCTTGACAAATATGCATCTTCCCTGACATATAACTTAGGATTAGATATACTATGTGCCGGACAAAAAATAACACTTGCATGCTAGCAAAAAATAGAAGTTTAGACAATGAAGCAAAATTTTACCTGAAGATGTTTTGCAGAACACGAATGCTTGACCCAGTAGTGGAGATTGAAAATTGCGGATAAAGTGGCAGCACAACAAGCTTTGTAATCCTGTCCCTCTTAATCTGATGTGGATAAAGAAGAAATGTCACCATTTTGACTACAATATATTGAATATGTATATGTATCATGTGTATATGTACCTGACTTAGCAAAATCTGATATACAAATTCATATACATATGAATCATATACAGAAATTTAACCATATACAGATCACTTTTAGCAGAATATACAGGTACATATACATATGAATCTGAGTATGAATCATATACATGTGAAAGTCATATAAAAGTCATCTGTACATATACATATGAATCTGAAAGTCATCTGTAAATGTAATATGTATATGTATCATCTATGATTTAGCAGAATATGTATATGTATCATATGTATCATCTATGTATATAAAAAATCTGATAAAAGTCATCTGTATATGAATCTGATAAAAATCTGATATAAGACACTTCATATGTATATGTATCATCTATGAATTTAGAGTTCTGACCAAAAGTTAAACAATTAGAGCACCTTCACCAATTATGCACCTTCAGAAATTTAACCAAATGAACCAATTATGCACAGAAATTTCTGTATAATCAAGATGAATTACGAAATTGATTTAATGAAGAAATTATGCACCTTCAGAAATTTAACCAAATGAACCAATTATGCACAGAAATTTCTGTATAATCAAGATGAATTACGAAATTGATTTAATGAAGAAATTATGCACTGGAGAAATTAAACCAATTGATTAAACATTTCGTTGGGGAATTTCATCGAACACGTTTTACGCAATGAAAGACTCCAACTGAAAAGGCCACAATTCGTAAATGAAAATGCCACAATTCCCAAATCAAAAGGAAATTTCACAGATAATAGATAGAAAATTCACAGATAATAAATAGATATATACATATATATATACTCAGATATACATACAGCTGCTGTGAAGGGAAGGAGTGACAGAGAGATTCGCGAGTGAAGGGAGGAAACGAGCTTGTCGGTGTTGGAGTGAAGGGAAGGACTGGTCGCCGGCGTCGGAGTGGGAGTCAGGCGTCGGAGTGGGGGGTCAGTACCTGTTACCGTTGTTTCAGGGGGGAGGGCACCGTTGTTTGAGGGGGGAGGGGGGAAAATTTCAAATGAAATGGAACCTGTTTGTTTGGTCTTACACCCCAGTCACGTGACTATCACGTGAGTGCCACCTCACTGGGTGTCACTGGGGGTCGGGGCAACTGGGTGTATGAGGCATTAGTGTTTTAGTTATTGGTGCTATATGCCTATGCATGTAATCCTGATTACCTTTTCTCAAGTATTCTTGACAGTGTCGCATAGTGGGGTTTGCAGGTTCTCTATTTTGCAAATATGGATGAATGGTTGCATGATGCATCCAGCTCTGGTGCAACCATACTTGCATCACAGTTTGTAGCGAATGTTCGTCACAGGTTTCATAAGCTTCACAGAATCAAAGCTCAACAAGTGGCACGGGCCTGACTTAGCTGCCGATGTTGCAGATTAGTCACTCTTCAAATGGTAGATGACAATATTAACATTCTGTTTATTTTGGCGGAAAACATTTCCAATGAAAAAAATTTAGAAAATGTTTTTATATATTTGGTTGCATCGTTGAAACGAATGTACAAGTTTGTTAGTGGTGGGGTGATGGTGGCAGTGGGGTGAATTTGGAGATGGTAGTTGCAGTGTGTTAGAGGTGATGGTAGCGGTGATAGTATGGTAACATTGATAAAATTTTAGTCTAGAATACGTTTTTCATCTTTCAAAAGTGGAAAAATATTATTCACGTTTGTTTTTATGTTGATCACGAAAAACGTTTTTCGATAACTTTAATTTTCTATTCTACCAAATGTCAGAAAAATGCAAATGTTTTTGCCCAAACAAATAAAGCGTAACTTAAATGTGATTATGCATACAAAAAATTAGGTTGATCCGATAATTATAACTTGTTCAATTTACCGTATTTTTCACTAAAAAAATGGACTGGAGGGAATCCTCCTCCTTATTTTTGTAGGTAAAAGTTTCAAATTTCTTGTATCGTTGGTAAGGGTGTGTGCGCGGTGTTTATCCTTAAATCACACCACGCACACCCCTACCAATAATACAAGAAAATTGGAACTTTTACCTACAAAAATAAGGAGGATGATTCCCTCCAGCCCATTTTTTTAATGATATTCTGGACAATATTTGGGGGTTCCTCTCATTCATGGCAAAGTGAGTTGGAGACACTTCAATAGTATTCTGGACAAAATGCAAATAAAGCTCATTGGGTGGAAAACTAGTGTTTTATCACTAGCTGGTAGAACTACTTTAATCCAATTTGTTAGCTCTGCTCTCCCTGTTTATACTATGCAAACTGTATCTCTTCCTAAGAAGGTTTGTAATGATATTGACAAAATGAACAAAAA